AAGATGTTTGGAGCCTATATAGTGACCCTGCAGTGTCTAACCCCAAGTTTTCCTATTTTGGACTTTTATTTCACTTTGTTCTGATAGAGGCATTACTTTAATTCTTCCTTCTTGGAATATGAAACTATTTAATTTGTTTATTATCTTTTGGGAACCCACAGTAATAGACTTAGAAATTCTGGAGAAATTGGTTATTTTAGAGTGAAAACCATCAACTTCTTTGAATTTTAAAGATTGTGGGACTTTCAAAGTTGCAATGTGTTTCATATTGATATAATGATATTAATATGAGATGTTGGGCATAAACAAGAAAGGGAAGGTTGCAGTTAAATAATGATGTGTTTGTGCGTTAAGTAGACAAGCGTTCAGGAGCTCTGGCTGGTTTGTCTTTCATTTTGTATTGTCAGTTTGACACAGGCTAGATTTATTTGAGAGGGATAAAAGAAGGAAATGTCTTTATAGGTTTACTCTGTGGCTGAGACTGTGAAGATTTTCTAAACAAATGATTGATGTGCCCAGCCCACTGTAGGAGGTTCTACCCGTGTACAGGTAATCCTAGATGATATAAGCAAGCAGGCTGAATAGGCCACCAGGAATAAGTCACTGGGCACCATTCCTCCATTGCTTCTGCTTCATGACTCTTGCTGTATGTCCTCAAAAAATGTATGAAAACAGCTTCACTTGTCTGCTCCACAGAGATAAACTCCTCCCACTGCCATGGATTTTCTGCCTTCAGGTTCTGTACCGTGTCAAACCATAAGCCCAAATAACTCATTTTCCACTTACCTTTTTCTTATTAGGTCTTCTAGTCAGAGAGACAAGAAACTAATCAATTTGCATCAATACAATGACACCAAATTCAAACAAATTTTATAATTTATCTTTCAAAAACTAGCAATAAAAGTTATACTAAACAACTGTTTATATTCATTGCTATATATATATTTTTTAAATAATTACTATGATAAGGTAGGTTGGATGGTGTGACTCTATTTCAAGTAGCTGGGGGCTGATGGGAAGAGATTGCAAGTTTAAGGCATATTACAGAACAGATTCATATTCAGCCTGGGATGCTTAACAAGAGATCAACTCAAGAAGAGCTTAAAAAGAGGTAGTTCCATAGTTCCATGGTAGGTCATTTGTCTGGGGAACATATATCCTTAGATTCAGTGCCCACTAAGCACATGTGCGCGCACACACACACACACACAGAATAG